TAACGATTTTATGCTTAATAAAAAATCATATATAAATCGTAAAAAACATGATAAAATAATTATTTCTAGCCACCAAAAGGGGGGGGGGGGGGGTCGGCGTACTCCCTCCACTCCCCTGGATCCGCCAATGATATAATTTAACATTATAGTATACCATCATAAAATTTAATAAAAGACGAAAAAACAGAGACAGCCGCCAATCGCATATTTACTATAGGGGCTCTGTAGTCAAATGAGTTAAGCCTTTTTCAACTCACTGAATTTTATAGTTTGTTCATATATTGTGCTGTTATACCACTTTTTTTTTTTCTTTTTTTTTTTTTTGGAGGGGGAGCGTGGGGGGGGGGCTTACACGTTCAACCTCGCAATTCTGTATGTACCAGTACCGAATTCAGGAGCCTGTAAATCGTTTGTTGTCTTTTGTTGCTATATATCATACATGTATTTGTTTTTCGTTTTTTATTTTGTACTTAAATCTAGGTCGCTAGTTTCCACATTAGTTTTTTTTTACAGTTTTCATTTCGGGGCCTTTTTTTTTATCTTGCTATGCCGTATGGACGTTTCTCATTGTTGGATGCCATACGGTGTTCCATATTTGTTAACTTTTACGTCATTTGGTCTCTGATGGAAAGCTGTCTCATTGTCATTTTTCACGGGCTAAATTGCCAATTAGGTTGTTCTACGAAGACGAAGACGAAGATATTGGACGTTGCAAACCAACTTTTATTTATAAAAAGAAATAATTCTTTCATGCCATGCTCAATGCTCATTTTAACATAGGAAGACATTATATTTGTTAAAATTTTAAAACCAAGCGTTAGCCAGGTATAAAATATTGACAAATATAATGCCTACCTATGTTAAAATGAGCGTAGAGCATGGCATGATAGAATTATTTTGTTTCTAATGGGGAAGTTTAGAACATGTGTATTTCGAAGCGGACATAAAATACACGTTCGAAAGGCAACCATTTTGATTGAGATATCCAAAACGTTCTAATAGATATAAGAAGATGTGGTATGAGTGCCAATGAGACAACTCTCCATCCAAGTCACAATTTGTAAAAGTAAACCATTATAGGTCAAAGTACGGCCTTCAAAACGGAGCTTTTTCTCTCACTGTCCGTCAATGGATGAACGAATGAGTAAATATATTGTAAACATAGCGTATAGTGTAGTAAAGCATACTATCCTTACTCTTTTGATAAATTGATATGGTAACACAATCTTTCCACATCTTATTTTTACATCATTACAGTAGTATAGAAAACAAACAAACATTTGTGAGATGTATTTCTATTTGTATCCATCTGATGACTTAAGCCTTTTTCAACTGATTTTTATAGTTCGTTCTTATGTTTTACTGCATGCATGTTACACCAAATTCCTAGGTTAGGGGGAGGGTTGGGATCCCGCTAAGATGTTTAACCCTGCCACATTCTGTATATATTTACCTGTCCCAAGTCAGGAGCCTGTATTTCAGTGGTTGTCGTTTGTTGTTGTGTTACATATTTGTTTTTCGTTAATTTTTTTGTACATAAATTAGGCCGTTAGTTTCCTCGTTTGAATTATTTTACACTTGTCATTTCGGGGCCTTTTATAGCTGACTATGTTGTATGAGCTTTGTTGAATGTTGAAGGCCGTACGGCGACTTATAGTTGTCAATTTCTGTGTCATTTGATCTCTTGTGACGAGTTGTCTCATTGGCAATCACACCACATCTTCTTCTTTCTATCATAAGGAATTAATGTAAGTACATGATATAAAGTATTTATTTCCATTTAAACTTAGTTCGAAGATAAGATCAATAAGGTATACGTATAGCATTCAAAAATGTCTACTCCCTATTTCGAAAAGTTCCCGTTTGAAATATATTTTAACACATGTTTGTATTGCAATAACATCTTTATAACATCTTTTTGACTCAAATATTTAATTTCTTCCAATTGGCAATGTCCTGATCCGTGCTAACGTAGCTTTTCATAAAATTTGTGATTTCAAAACAAAACAAAACCGGGTCCTATACTGAGACAAAACAGGGTCCTTGTGTAATAAACAACATTGACGAAACAGGGTCCTTCCATTTTGACATGACCCATTTCTTTCGTTCCATGCACAGAAATGCAAATATTGAGGTGCTCATAGTGACTAGCCATGCAATCTCTGTGTTAATATCTTTCTTTCCGTACTTTTCTTTCCGTAAAATGTGCACAATTTAAAAAGAAATTAAACAAATTCGTAGCAAGATTCACTCAATTCACCATTTTCATGTGCCTTTTTACTTATTTCTCCATTAATCTAGAACGGTTGTAGAAAATATTACATCACACAATCGAAAATAGTTATATGTGTATGTTTATTCTTCAATGTCATTAAAAAACAAATAAATAAACAGAATTTCTACCTTTTCTCTGTCTGTTGATTGTCCGTCACCGTACCGGACATTAGATACTATCGAGTCGAAACATTTTTTGCCGGGGTAGTTTAGACACAGTGCCATTAGACAATCTAAATAAGATTATAAAGCAAAACTATATATGGATGGATTACAGTGATTAACAAACTAACGAAGAGAGTCATACTTCGGACTTGTGATACATCAAATTAATCTAGACAACAGTAGTTAACTGATGTTCTATTCTCATAAATCGACTAAGAACATCAAGGTAATAAACAAAAACTCAGGGAATCACAAGAAAAAAAGGTATAACAAATATGACGAATTCCAAAGCAAATTCAACTTTCAAGGGAGCGAGATTAATTGATTGCGTTCTGGGCTGATATGCATAAAACTACTTAAGTTAAGATTTGTTCCGAACGGACGGATTTTTCTACATGTCCTACGATAAATTAGTACTACGATTTGATATCTTAACTCATATAAGCCCTGGACTTGTCTTTTGGTGGATGTTTTTTGTATTGTCTTGACGTTTTGATTTTTCATTAAAACACAATAGATTCAGTCTTCTAATTTTCCTCAATTAACATATTATATATTTTTTTTAATCAATTTCAGTAAATAAGAAAAATAGAAAATAGAAAATAACTAATATCAATAATAAAAAAAAACATCATTGTCAACTAAATACACACACACTTATTCAGTTTTCTTGCTTATTTTCATATTACCTAAAATCAATTGTTCCACTTATAGAGGGGTTTAAACGTCTCTACATATTTCAATAAAAATGAAATAAAACAAAATGTAGTTAAACAATTTAAAAATTTACAAATAAAAATGCTGATTGTTTCCTAAAATTTCAACTATTCAATTCCAAAATTAAACTTTATGGCAGGTAACGTAGTTACCTATATGTCCATGATTGCATGCTGATGACAAACTAGATATTTTTAACAGTTTTAACACTTTTAAATTGATGTTTAAATGTAGCAGATGGGCAGGCATAAAGCATTTTAAAAATCCTGTGTGTAAATTTACACTGAGGTTATAATTAACAAATAGTAAAAACTACCTTGTATTTGTCAAATAACAGGCCCGCACAAACGATTCAGTGCCGCCCACCATTGTAGTGATCAGTATCTTCCGGTCGTCCATCTAGTTATCCTGTAGATTTACTTTGTGTGCGGTTAGCTGCAGTCCATGGTCAAACTGTGATACAAATAGCACAATCGGTGTGAAAGACTTTATGGCAAAACAAAGTTAATAGATGATTGTTTAATGTCTAATTTTCACAACAAGATGATGCGTTTCTGAGACAGTTATAGCCATTAGGGTTTCTTTGAAAGTTCAACTCATCGTAAAAGTCAAGCCTAAACTTTTCATCACTTTAAAATTAAGTCTTTATCATCAAATGTCCAAAATATCTCAATTACCTGCTCTGCAATAAGTAATAATCAACCTTCAAATTTTACTAATCTTCTCCTATTTTCCCCTTTATTCAGTTAAATAAGTTTAACTGTGGTTAAAAGAAGCATGCATGACAAAAAAAACTAAAAAAACAAAAATTAAAAATCAAAATACAAACAAACAGACAAAAAATAAAGAAAATAAAGTGAAACTTGATATCACCATTTCTGCAGGAGTTAAAGACGGATAACCCCTACCATGCTTTTTTATGTTTCCATCTTGAATAGTGATTTAGTACAACCGCTTTGAAATTATCCCCTCAGTTTTCAGAGTTTACTTGTTCTGTGCCTAAAAGTGAACAATTTTGCGGTTTTTGTTTCCTTGAAATTCTTTTTATTTTGTTAACTTATATTCATGTTCGATTGCCGACCCTTATTCCTTCCTCTGTTTTAAAAGTACTCAAATAGTTAGTTCATAATTTTAAATACCAATTTGCAATCGTTTGGGGGTCAGTTTAATTTAACCGTATTTGTTTCTTTTGGTTGATAATATTATCAAATACATTTTACCTTAGAATTGCTGATTGCTTTTTAGCGTAACAGTAGACCTTATAGTCTAGAAATAGGCTAGTGTCTTTCCCTTGAATAACTTACAAATGTCATTTTGAAATTGATGTCAATCTTTTCTAAAATTCAAAGCATAATAGCTTCATGTTTAAACTTCGAATTTCTCATTTTGGTCATATAGCTCTTCCGTTGTTCTTGTTTTTCTCTCGCAACATTATGGCGTAGTTATTAATATTAATATGTTGCCAAAGTAAAGATGATTCAAAATTGCTTAAAAAATGTAAATTACAAATATTTTGGAAACATTTATCCAATAAGAACAAACACATCAAATTTCTATATTAGGTTTAACTTAGTATTTTCTTTCAGATAATAATTAATCCATTTTTTTTTATTTTGGATGTCCTTAATGCATAATTTTTAATGAAATATTACTACAAAAATGTATTCAACAGCAATGAATGGCGCTTAATTGAAATTATGAATATATGTAAAACTGCAAAATGAAAAATCATTTTTATGTATTACAAGAAAAATACCAGGAAAAGTTACCTTCATTATGGTAACAGCTTCATGCTACAACGTAAGGCATACAATAGATATAGCTTATTATTTCCATCTTTTTAGGAAACAAAAGGAAAGACTGTATTAAGAAAAGAAAGCTTGGTCGAAACCCTAGGGTTCCTTTTACACAACACCAGGTTGCTGCATTAGAACAGAAATTTCGTCGAACACAGTACTTAAGTAGCATGGATGTTGCTGAGTTATCTACTCTGTTGAATCTTACAGAAACAAGGGTCAGTACAATAATTTGTCTTTTATATTCATCTGTGCTGAGTTTGTTCTTAGTTTGAAATTCTTTGACTCTTTGTTTTTTTATTTTTTTTGTCTTTATGTTAATTTTTTTAAACGCAGGTCTTTTTAATGTCAGGTTCAGTTTTATGTTTAAATGTAGATGAGGATATACTGAAAGAAATATTAATAATACAAATAATAATAATAATAATAAGAAGAAGAATAATAAGAATAATAATTAAAACAGACATCTATATGGAAAAAGTATTTATATAAATACCAAACTCCAAGATAAAAATTCAAAAAGGGGGAAGTCCATAAAAACTGACAAAATCAATCGTTATACTTTATCAACCAACGGAACGAATGGAAAAAACAATTGAACAGAGTCATGAAGAATATTTCTATAGTTTTATTTGTAAAGAAAACCACTCAATGATACTCGAAGATGTTTTTTTGACCAGCAAACATGTTCAAATTCATTTGCTAATTGGTATACTAGTAAGGTTTAAATGATACATTTTCAGTTGATTAATTATATTATTGTACAAAAATTAAGGCTTCAAGATGGGGTTTATTTTATTTTTACTCCTGTTTCCAAGCCTTTTTGCTATGATGCATTCAAATGATTTGTATATTTTGGCTTCGCCGAACCTGTTGCTTCGATCTTATCTGACGTTTGTGAACAGGTCGATCATTTTACTACGATAGACTGATGTTCTCGACACATTAGAATTCAGAGTTGTTCCTACTTTTTTTACGGTCTGCGAGCATAAGAGTAGGAATAATTTCCTCTGTATTTGTTTCACTTAAATGGTCAAATGATGCTGGAAATTGAATATTCAAGAGGTTAAGGGGTTTACTTTGGCATTACATGGACTTTGTCATATCCGCACACTACAGTAAATATGTGGATGTGGTATAACTGTCAATGAAACAACTATCCAACATATCCTAATGACGTGGGTCGATACCTCTACTGGTAGACTGTGAGTCCCCGAGGGTATCATCAGCCCAGTAGCCAGAACTTCGGTACTGGCATGAGAATACGGATATTGTGGTAATAAATTTAGGAAAATATTTTAAGTTAAGGAATATATTTCCCTCATCCAAAGCTCTGACTCCTTGCCCGCCTTTGTTTTTTTTTTTGTGTCTATACGCCCTTCATTTTTATTCGACCGCAAAATGTTTGCAAAGCTCCGATTCATTGCCCGACTTTTTCTATACTTTTTATTTTTTTTTATTTATAAGCTCTTCATTTTGTAATAAGTTTTGGATTTTGGCGTCAACATCACTGAAGAAACATTTTTTGTCAAAATGCGCATCTGGTGCAGTAACATTGGTATCGTTGATGTTACTACTAACAATGGGTCAATACCTCTGCTGGTGGAATGTAAGTCCCCAAGGGTATCACCAATTCAGTAGCCAGTACCAAATACAGGTATTGTGTTATCAAAATTTGCTGTTACAAAGTTTTTGAAATTATTTTGAGTTAAGGAATATCACTAATGTAAAGCTCTGATTTTGGATTTTCAAATATTTTGAGTCGAGCATCACTGAACAGACAATTATTGTCAAAATGCGCATCTGGTGCAGTACAATTGGTACTGTTAATATATCAAGAGATGTTTGTTGATGTCCAACACAGGCATATTTTGTTCACGTGAAAAAAATTCATGTAAATTTTATTTGAATCGACTGTAAACGTGAAATTCACGTGAAGTGAAATTACGTTTCTCTTGAATACAATTTACCCGTGTAACTTTACGATAAATATAAGGATTTATTCTTATTTAAGACATTTTCAAAAACATCTCTTAGGACGAAGATATGTCCTCTTAGGAATAAGATATGTCCCTTGTCTTAAGATGGTGTATACCTGAGAACCTTCGTAAACTATGGCCTTGCTGAGGTTTGTACAACTTTAGTAAAATTATTTTCAATCAGGCAGTTCAACTTTTAGTTTAAATAAATGTTTTCTTTGCGTTATTGGTGTTCTTTTATAATACTGTTTACAGCCACTTTTCCCAGATTCAGCTCAATACAAAAATTTCAAATTTCTGTAACCTGTCATAATATTTCTATCTTTGCTGTTTGATAACTTTTTATATCGTGTGTTTTGTAACAATAACGTGGAGTGGATTTGCGCAATAATCTTTTAATTTGTCATTTAAGATATGTAATTTGAGAGCAAATAATTTTGAGTTCTATGGTGTATTGTGTCAGTAAACATCATATTGGTTTGTTTCTCTTCATAACCAATAACATCCACAAGTTTATTGTACAGATTAAATCAGATTAAATCTGAAAAATAGGAAATTAAGTTTTCTGAAACACTAAAACTATAATACATGTCCATTATACATTGATGACATATAATTAGCCGCTCGAGTAGAATTAGAAAGCAACTAATAAAGTTCTCATCATGGTATACATTAATATCTTTGTCTTAATATAACCACCGGTTTTATTATCTTTTAAAATAGTAATATCAAAGAAAAAAGACAATTTTATAGGAAAATTAAAGAATTCGTAAAGTAATTTGTACAGTACGTCTTGAATTAAAAGGTGCATTAATAATACTAGAACTAATTTCAATCTGTTTTCTAGACATCATTGTTGTAAACTTAATTGTCATGCTCTTATATTGAATAGATCAAATAACATAGTTATTAAATCATGTCTTATAAACTTTAGTAGAAATCCAATTTGGAATAATTAAAAAACATTTTGTAAGACTGTAAAGCAAAAGATTATAGATATTTTACTTAACCGACACAATACGGCGAGCATTTCCATGAATGTCTAAATATATAAATTTAATATGTAGCATTTCTATGTCGTTTTACTACGTTTTGTTATATTTTTTGCTTCAACTGTGTCCATGTGTGAAACATTTGAATTCGTAGATAAGGTCTTTTTATTACTTTCTACCTAGGAAACTAAATCAAGGCGTTAAACTGTTTCCCTTTGATAAGAAAACTATATTTCTCTGGCTGGCTGAAAATTTGTAATTTGTGTTTATGCCAAATGGATAACGATACTGTTGATATGCTTATATTCTTATATATGAATTTATGAAAACAACCAACTAGCAAATTTTATAGGTTTCGGATCGTCTTCAAATGACGATGCAAGACAAATAGGAAAATCATAATTAGTTTTAAGATTTCAGCAACGATACTGATAAAAGATGTTCATGAATAAAACGAAATAATGTCGTATTGAAAGATAACTATTTCGGCACAAAAATGATGTTCGTCATTGACTATTTTTTTTGTGAAAAATCGACATATTTATAGTTGTTTTTTTAGACAGGAACTGTTCTAAGATTTTCTATTAAGTCTAAAAATCGTTAATGTAAAATTACATCAGATGATTACTTCTGGCATTCAAAATAACAAATGCTTGTAAAATTGGCTTACAAGATACGATATAATGAAATTTCTTTTTAAAGATACTTTTTTGCAACCATAGCGAATAAAATATTGCATGGAATGCTATAGTATATTATATAGTATCTAGTATCAAAATTGAAAATGAAAATGAATAAGTTAGAATATTTGATAAGGTAACAGGTTCAAATCTAAATATTGTATTCACATTCGTGTAATGATTTTCTCTAACAAGGATTTAAACCGTCATTTTAAAAGTGTTTTTATATCTACTTAAAGAACAAAATTAATGAAAAAGTATAAAGCAAACGGCAAATTGTAAATAAAGGCAACAGTAGTATACCGCTGTTCGAAATTCATAAATCGATTGAGAAAAAACAAATCCGGGTTACAAACTAAAACTGAGGGAAACACATCAAATATAAGAGAACAAAGACACAACAGAAACACTAAAATGCAAAACACACAGAAACGAACTATAAGATAATAATAGCCATTTTTAATTTTAAATAAGAGGTAAGGATTCAAGGAACAAAAGATACGTATTTGAAAATCTAAATCCTAAATTTTTTGAAGAGCTGATATAACCGAAAAGCACTATAAAGGATAGCCTATCAAAGACAAGAAATCATAAATATGTGATGTTTCATTTTTTGTCCGATCGAATCATCGATTGAAAAGTCTTTTTCTACTAGAGAAAATGTGAGTTATCACTTGCAAAATCCTGGTGTCAAACTTCTGTAGGAAAGGACATACAGATCGTAGACGTATAAAATCACAGTTCTTCCATTCTGTGGACGTGTCAAAATGTTTTCTGAATTCTGATCAAATCAGACGTTAATAATTTAATGATTATTGTTGGAGTTCATGATAACTTTCTTTCTTTTTTATGCATTTCTAAAATATTTTTTGTCAAACTAATATAATACTCAGTTGATATATTTATCTATCAATATGGTCAATATGGACCCTCTATGAAGCCAATACTTTTCTTGTAAATCCATTTAATGACCAAACAACAGTAAAAAAGTTAATCATTACTAAAAACGACCAATGAAAATGATTGTAATAGAACTAAATAGGTTTTTTTTATAAAGCACAGTTTCTTGGAACTTTTTAAATTATCTACTGCAATCAAATTATGTACAACTTCTGTTATCAAAAGTGAAATTCCGCAGAATTTATCAAAACAAACCTTGTGACTGACAAATTTTGATAACAAGACTTGAGGAAAATTTCAATAAGTTATTGTACCCTTTTCAATTGCGATTTGTGAGTGATAACAAACCCAAAATTCTGGCTCACAAGAAAATCATAAAGAAAACATATATTTCTGCATTTGATCATGTGTCAAGTACATCCAAACATAAATGTACCACACATTTCATACTCAATGATTTTTTAAAAAGGTTATCTATCCAAATCAGTTTGTGGAGGATTATGCACGTACATAGACAATGCTCTTTTTTATTTACTTCATTGGGAATTTTTCTACCCAAAATGCAAAAAATAAATATTCAGAGTTCATTTCAAACAACAACAAATCACGAAAAACACTCAAAACTTAGATTAGATATAGTCAGAATATTGGTGTTAGTCAGAGCTATAGAATTCATCAATTTGTGACTGTGTCGGTTCATCAATTCAATATAAACAATGACTTCATATTTTTTTAAATTCTAAATCTATGTATATCTCAATAAACTCTATATTGAGATGATAAATAAGTTGTGTGTTTTGAAAATACCGCTTAAATTTTCATGTTTTTAACTTGAAAAGTAATGAATAAACATCATCGGCAGCTCCTATCAATTATTAAAAAAAAGATGTTGGATTGCATTGATCAAGATATAAATTTAATATCACATCTTTTTTTAATTTAGCATTGTTTGGGAGGAAATCAAAGAATTTTCGACATATAAGATATGCTTGAAAAAAATAAAGATCTGTACATGATAAAAGACCATTTCCAATATCATTTAAATATAAATTATAAAAAATCTGACTTTATTTATTAATGCCAATCTCCGACAAAGGACTATAATACAAGATAAACTAACACGGGTTATCTTCATGAAGTAGAAAACTGCTAACCAAAATTAATAAGCAAGTTTTAATTACTGCAATGTTTACCCCTATTCATTTTTCGCTATAAGAACATGAGTACACTCTTTTCTGAATTATTATTCAATTTATCTAAATTATTTTTGTGTTTGCTAATAATCGCAATTCTATATTCATAAAACTGTTTTCATTATCTCTTATAAGTTTTTGTTTTATTCTATCAGGACGTCATATTTGCTTTTCAATAAAAAAGGATTACAATGAAAAATCTCCCAAAAAAAATCATATGAAATTTGTTATACACCATGGCCCTACAAAATAGTTTTTAGTTTTCCTACTGGGAGTAGAATAAGACTGGCGTGTTTGTCTGAAAAAGTTTTTTTTTTTAAATAAGGGCATTTCGGCAAATGCATTATGCTTAAATTGGACTATCCGAACGCTCAGAAAACATATATATGGAATAAATTAATTCTGTACGCAAATATTCTTTTAATGATTTTTTTAATGATTAGGCAAATATTTACACTTAAAAAACAAGGAAACAAGCGAAATCAGCTTATAATACATTTTTCTCAATAAAAGAAAGAAAAAAATAAAACAAAATTACGATCTCCACGGTGATTTTCAAAAAGGGTGATTACCATAAAAACTGACAAGACAAATCAAACAAAGAAAATATATTTGTTTGTATAAATTACACGATTTAACATAGAATTTAATAAATTATATAATAGTGGTTTCCAAATAGCTTTTATCAATATGATTACCGAAGTAGGCAATCCTTTAATCACAAGAAGAGTTTTTTCTGTTGTTCTCACATCAGCAGTTGTCTCACTGAGAATGTCTTGAAGGTAAAACAAATTAGAAAATTAAAAACAGAAATAGCATGATAGAGTTTATAGGACGGTAATCCTTAATTTTCAAGTTATTCAGTTCATATAATTTTTATTTATTCATTTTCTCAGATATGTGGATATCTATGTAATAAATTTCTTTATATGATGTATTATAGATTGGGTACGAAAAATTGTATTGTTGTGTGTTCAATATAATTACTATCTCAGGTAATTTTCCCACCTGTGGGGAGATTAATATTTCGGTAAAATGGATCAAATTAGAGAATTGTTGTGAATAACATATAATTAACTAGTGTCCAGAAAAATGTAATGAGTGGTCAGGCCACGTATCACAGTGTACATATTAACATAAATACGTCTAAGTAACACCAACAGCATGGAAAATTAAATGCGTCATTGACTTAGCAGCAGGAACATCACTCGTCTAAACGTTTAATTATGGATTTTTTGTTATTTTGGCATAAAAGTCAGATGTGAATATCCTTTGTTGTATTGATGATAAATCAAACTTGTTTAATTTAATCATGTATTAATCTATGTTTGACACTATTTCATTACATTGCCCGATTGTGTATTTAATTAGTCAAGTCAATAAATGTAATATTCTCATGACTTTACGTCATTCTATTATCATTACCAGAGCACCATGGATTTATCAATTTGACAAATTTAGACACTACAAATAAAAAAATTGTTTGAACTCATTAAAATATGATATCCCTCCTACAACGGAACGCCAAACAAAACGAATTCCTGTATAAAAATATATCCTCATTTAATTTTTTTTCAATTCTCCCTCAATGCCCAGCATTTGTTTCTTCCTATGTAAATTGTGTAACAAATCTATGAATTAATGTCTTGACTAATTTGTCATTATATCCTTTGTAACCACACAAAATATAAATCGACATGTAGGTGTATTAAATTTTCTTTTAATTGAATGTACTTCAAAGCTTACATTACCGCGATGAACCCTTTGTTTTCTTAAAATATAAAGAAGAGTATTTGCTGTTTTAATTGTAGTCAATGCTAAAATTGTTTCTATATCATTATCGATTTCCTTCTTTATATGTAAGTTAACCTTTTGCTGATAACAATAAAAAAGGATAGTCATATTGTGTACTGAATATAATGAATACATCTTTATAAAGAACAGAAGAATTATTCTTTTCTCTTGACATATTAGTTATTTCTATTGAGATATTTAAATTTTTTAGACAAATTGGTTAGTTCTCTTGACATTAGTTATTTCTCTTGACTTTTGGTTATTTTTCTTGACAATATTAGGTATTTCACCCGAAAAAATTGGTTATTCCATTTGACATATTGGTTATTAATATTAGTTATTTCACCTGACATATTGGTTATTCTCTTGACAATATGTGTAATTTTTCTTGACATATTGGTTATTTCTCTTGACAGTATTAATTATTTTCCTGACAATATTAGTTATTTTACTTGACAGATTGGTTATTTTTTCCCAATGGATATTAGTTATTTTTAGCTCACAAGGCCGAAAGGACCAAGTGAGCTTTTCTCATCACTTGGCATTCATCGTCCGTTGTCCGTCATCGTCCGTCGTCCGTTAACTTTTACAAAAATCTTCTCCTCTGAAACTACTGGACCAAATGTAACTAAACTTGGACACGATCATCATTGGGGTAACTAGTTTAAAAAATGTGTCCGATGACACCGTCTGTCAAACAAAATGGCCAACATGGCTAAAATTGGAACATATGGGTAAAATACAAGTTTTGTCTATTATTTTGAAAACCGTTATATATAGAGACAACTTGACAGGGCAAAAATGTTCAGAATCTTGAGCCCTACGTATTGTCCATTTATGTCAAAATTCAGGGGACTTCTTATAGGAGTCATTGCCCTAAATTGACAAATTTGCCTTTTTTTTTTTATTTTTGCCTATTATCTTGAAAACTATAATAGATACAGAGAAACTTTAAATTGCAAAAAATTTATCAGCAAGACAAGATCTACATGGTCGAAATCGTCAGTCGACTCCTTATTAGAGTTATTGCCCTTTGATGACGATTTTTACCAATTTTTTTCGTTTTTGCCTTATATCTGAAAAGTTATAATCGATAGATAGAAACTTAAATAAGCAAAAATCATCAGCAAGACAAGTTCTACAATTAAGACAATTATGGAGGAAACCATCCGATGACTCCTAATTAGAGTTATTGCCCTTTAATGGCGATTTTTACCAATTATTTTGCATTTTGCCATATATGATAGAAAAGTAGAAACTTTAAACAACAAAAATGATAAGCAAGGCAAGATCTACAAACAAGTCAAATTTTGCCGATATAGTTAGTAGACTGTCACTCTTTATGGGAGTGATTGCCCTTAAATGAGTAATTTTTTACCCTTTTTTGTGTTTTGAGCAAAAACTATAGAATATAGAGAGAAACTACACAGACAAAAGGATCAGCAATACAAGATCAACAAAAAAGAGATTTTTGTAATGAATTCTATTCTCGTCTACAGTGTTGGAAAGAGAGTGTCCTTTGTTGAATATGCACACAGACCTAGGTGAGCGACACAGGCTCTTTAGAGCCTCTAGTTATATTAACAAAATGGTTATTTTTAGACATATTTGTCTAGAAAAAAATAACCAATCTGTCGAGAGAAATAACTAATATGTCAAGGGAAATAACTGATATGTCAAGAGATATAATCAATATCTCAATAGAAATAACTGATATGTCCAGAGAAAAGAATAATTAGCCCACCATTTTCTTTGGAAAATGCTAGTTCAAAGTTCAGGAATATGGCCGTTGTTTTTCACTTGTTCCGTTGATTGATAGCGTTTGGTTTTGTCAGTTTTTATGGACTTCTCTTTTTTTAATTTGCCTTGGAGTTCAGTATTTTTGTTATACATTTTTGTTCTACCCTTGACATATTGAAGGAATCAACATGTCCAATTTGCAGCCTTTTCGCAAAGATATGAAATGCATTTTTTTCTGTGTTATTAAAAGTATTTAATTCTAGATTAACTCATCGAAATTAAAGCTCCCTTGTCGTGTTAATTGTTATAACAGGATCAGATTCTTCTTAGACGAAAGTAACATTCATTTGCATCAAAATCATTTCACAAAAGTGTCATGGCTCAAAGACGAATTTGTAAGAATACACTTAATACTGAACAATAGTAAATTTTATATATTTTCGAAAATATTTCAACTTAAAGGTTTTTACGGATAGGCGGTCATAAGTTAATTTAACTTTCAGACGAAAATTTATTTTGAAAATGCAAATGATAAATGTTTGATTTATTTTTTTAAGGTAAAGATATGGTTTCAGAACAGACGAGCACGTGAAAGACGAGACAGAGAAGCTGCCCAAAGAGGACAAATAATCCAGAACAAACAATCAACAGCCATGTTTTCTGGAATGATTTGGCCGTTCTCTAGCAATGTAAGGACACCAACGCCACCACAGACATTCCCATTCGGTACTTCAACAAGTAACTCCATAAAATGATGTTATATGAATTTTCTCTCTAATTGTTCTTGAGCTGAATACTTTGTTGTTGTTCAACTCAATTTCAGTTAATTTTGATATAAGTTTACTGTTTCATGTCTCCTTGAAATATGGACAACATTTCTGGTTTACAAAGAATATGATCTTGAATAACTCGCTCAACTTGGATTTATGTGCTGTATGTATAAAAGAAACTGACAGTGCAATATAGGTGTTGAAGTGTACTAAAGATCCTTGTTTTTTTAAAGAACTGATTATCTTTGTTATAATATTGTGTTGGCTTTAGTTGATGTGCTTGAAAATATTTGATAGAGAAAGTATCAGACAAAATTGACTAGTACAGGCATGTGTAATTGTCACATGAAAATTTTGTATTTTGTTACTTAAATAAACTATCATGTGATAAAGGATAGATGTATTAGAATTGTGTATTACTGATATTTTCATGTAATTACTTATATTCCCAAATATAATTTTATTTGTTTGGTAATTTTCTATAGTGTTCTTATTAAAAATGTACCAACTGATTTATTCACTGACCTGAAAACTCTAAAGTTGGAAAACTGATGAAAATATAGAATTTCTCTTTAATGTTTGACAGTTTCTTTGCGGGATCACTTACAAATTTACAAGATAGTAATAATTTTAAAAAAAATATCAAATAAACAACAAAATGATATAGTGTGTATCATCTTCCTCTTGATTATATAAAAGAATTTATTATATTGCTATGCGAACAAATTTCTAATACCAACCTCTATCTATTTATCTACTGACAGTATATGTCGTAGTTCACGCAAATACTCACTAATTACATAACACGTTTGTCCCATAAGAATCCGTACTTTTGATTGGCTGACAATAATCGAGATGCATTCCAAAATTCGATGGTTTTCCCAATAATGAAAGAAAATGCAACATTCATGACAGCACGTGCTTTCCGTGTCAACGTCACAAAAGTGCATAGAAACAAGTATAACTCGTATAATTTCGTTGTAGCATAAACAAGTAATTATAAGAATTGAATGCTTCTTTTTGTGATTTTTTTTAGGGTTGTAAACGCGCTTGATCGTGCGCACATTTTCAATATGAAGCGCTTCCGCTTAAGTCAATATATATTTATACATACGAAGATAGACCTCAGAAAGTTAAAAAAAATACCAACAGTATGAAATGAAATGCAAATCTAGGGAATGACAATTATTAGCAACGATTAACAATGCTAATGCAATTCGTTTATAACAACAATTTTCATTGGACGTTGACAAATATTTTGAAGGGTTAGATTCTAGCAGTCCGTAGCTAAGGAAAGCCACCATTTTGAATTCGGATTTTTTTTTGGGTATGTAATTTCCCAAAAAATAGACAAAAAAGTCTCATTTTGTTCCTCAAAATCTTCTTTTTGTCAATATCGAAACCATTCAGAAGCGTACGAAAAGTATGCATACGTCTAGTGTTTATGTTTAACATAGGGAGTATACTTATGACGTCACATTGTTTAGATGCTAAAGACGATGTAACAGTTGTGCGGACTAGTTCCTTTAAGGCATTTTTAAGCCAAAATATTTACTAAAATAGAATTTATTTTAATATGTTGAATGAATGGAGATAACTGTATTGTATTTTAAGCTTGGCCTTCGTAAAACGTAAATTTTAATGTCGCAAATTGAGTTTACCTAGGGACGCGTAGCGGAGTTACGAAAGCCAAGTTTAAAATACAATTCAGTTATATATATCTCCTAATTTGAAATAAAGCTCTTATATTTTTACATCTACGTCGTATATATTTTTTAAATAATTTCTCTTATGTCACCTTCATCACTTTTTCTCTTTTAGCCTGTATGCCTTTCGAAATTGTACTGCAGTCCATTGCTTTTATTTGGCTTATTCATACATTATTTAGGCAAACTTATTAAACATATCTTGATTAACTCCGTCGTGGTTGTTTCTATATCATACAACAAAGTTGACGGGCAGATTATGACAGTAATTGTTAGATTTCTTCGACAGTTATAGTCTGATATTTTTTATATCCCACAACCTTGTCTACTTCCATGCACAGATGATGTTGCAGTATCGACAGCTAGCAAATAAATTCGGTTGAGCTCGTGCTAGGGACCGCCTTTAACTTACAGTGAAGTGAGAGCTTTTGCTTTGTGTTGAAGGTCTCGATGCAGAGAGATGAAGAACAGCAAGCAAAGCGTTGATCCTTTCCTTTGGATTTAATCAAGTGTGTTTATGGATTTTGACACCGTACGCTCCTTTTCCATCTATATTCCAAAAACAAGGGCCGTCATGCTGACATATTCATTCACATAAACGAGCAATAATCGTAAAGATACAATAATGATTACTAGAAAATAGTGAAATCTACGAACTTATAATTATTAATGGAAGTATATGTTATTTATATTTTTAAACTAAAGAGACATCACTTTGAAACTATAGTCACACATTATGGGACAAACTTTAGATTGATAGTTCCTGTGACAATGAAAAGACAGGTGTGAATAGGAAAATGTATCATAATTAGGTCTATGAGTAGCAATCTGACTTTAGATTCTTAATGTATATCACACTTTTTCAGAATGTTAACCAATTCAAAGATAAACATCTTGAAAGTATCAACTTTAAATGCATATTTCTGAAAAGAAAAACATATAAGACGTTTTAAAAAATCGATTAAAGAAATTAAGGAATTGGGATTTCGAAATAATATTTATTTAGAAAGTATGTGGTGTATCAATTCATAAAACAAAATCACTACGCATACAAGAAAACTAAAAAGTAAAGACACAGCGCCTTTGTTGATGTTCTTCGTCTCAAAGTATTAAGGCCTCATCATGAAGCAAAACCGAATCGACAGATGGTATGTATTCCTATGGGCACCGATTGCGCCATACTTCCGGTATAGTTATGATTCACGGATTATGGCCAAAGTCAGTAAAGATCGGTATACATTCCATTAATATGATAACTTTGATAACATTTACCGTTATCGTGATGATATTTTTAAATAAACAAAATTCTCTAATTATATTGCAGAATATTTACCCAAGAGAACTCACTTTAAATAAATCTGATATAGACAACAATAATTGTCTTCCCTTGATTTAAATATTTAAGTTTAACATGAATAACTCCACACAAATAATTACAAGAGAGACGATTTGTGTTATTTTTTTTTCTTTTTTGGCCGGTGATATTCCTTTGGTCCTTTCTTAGGATGTGTTTATTTCCCAACTCCTTCGCTACGCCCGTGTCTGATGTGACATTTTAGATTTCAATGAACGTAAACTTTGTATAACTGGTACATCATTAAGTATGAGATTTCCTTACCGACAAATAACTTAGAACTTAGAATTCTTTCATATATACAAAGATTTGGTTCCGGGAAGTTTGGCTAAACCAGTAGAATTCTTAATACATCAGAATTTTTATCACATCCTAATTTTGACGGTGATGTTGTTTTTAGAGCCCATAAATTTAGATAAGTTCCATATAAATTCATCGATCCTTTGAAAAAACTTAATTTTTAAAGGTTGTCAATTTAACAACGTTGTAAGATCTTTACATATTGTTTTATTACTAGTTTTGTTTTTGATTAATTGAAACATAACAAAATATGTATTGCTATACAGTTAAGGAAACTAAGGGTCCTACGTCGTATCGATACTACGTACTTATATCTTGGCATTGCACAGAGTCATGCTTTTTTCAGACTGTTTATGACGACTTACAGTTAGTGCGTTTGCTATGTACTGATTGATACTGTAGTCTGAGAGAATACGATTCATTTCTTAATTGTAATTGTTTTTGAACAAGCTTTCGGGAACTGCGAGAGCTCATAGATCAGTACTTTGTCTGTATATTTTCTAGTTGTTTTGTGCTTCGTGCAAATCTGTTGAGTCAAATCAATTCCAAATGATTTTTACAGTTTGTTCTTATGTTGTTGTGTTGCACCACTGTCCAAGGTTAAGGGAGGGGTTGAGCGATTACAAACAAATTTAACTCTGCCACATTGTGTCTGTCCCAAGTCTGCCCCACGATGTTTGACAAATTGCAGGCCGGAATTGTGTATAAAATTGAATATAAAAACTTCGCTAGAAATAAACATATGTGTTCCTCCGTAGGAATATAACAATGTGCTGATGTGTAGATAAACTCATCATAGATGTCAGGATTAAAATTGTGTACCCCAGACGCGCGCCTCGTCTACAAATGACTCATCAATGACGATCGAATCAAAAAGAAATTAAAAAGGCAAAATAATGTACGCAGCTGAAGAGCATTGATGACCCTAAATTCCTAAAGGTTTTGCTAACAGCTAAATTAATCTATTGCTGTTGTAAACAATCCTTAGTTTTTCGAAAAACTCAAAGTTGTGTAAACAGTTTTATTATCTATAATAATGACCATATAATGATAATTCGTGTGTAAGTGTTAATATGTTATAGAACCTTAGTCATTTTGGTAACATTTAAATAAATCTTGAGTAATAAACTTTCCAAAGTTTTCATTTTATCTATTTGAAGCACGACAGAATCTTTGCCAAGAAATTAAAGTTGTATATCTGACCTATAGGTTTTTTTTCATATTTTCCTTTAGTTTTTACTTTTAAAATTTCCATTTTTTAGCAAAATTTGCAACCGAAAGTTGACCTGTTGTGTAAATTCTCAGGACTACAAACTATTACCTTTTTTTGTAAAACTTTACAGAATGTTTGTGTGTATGTTTGGAGGAGTATGCAATTACACCTTCCCAAGAGCAGACCATCTTGATAAATATAAGGCAGATGAAATTACAAAACAAACCGTCAATGACTATGTGTTTTCCCAAGACAGTGTGTTTATGGGATCTGCTTTATAAAGGTTGACAAACGAAAGATACACAAAATCAATTTGTGTTATATATATCATTTTGACAAAACAATATCCTCTCAGATTTTGAAGTTATTCATAAAATATCTTCTGCCATAATAATAATAATTGTATGAGGAAAAAATATAACCGGAATGAGGGATGGTGTAATTCTTTTAATTGAAAGTGAGTCGGCAGTAATCTTATGTTTCTTGAAAGTACTATGCCATTGATATTGCATAAGGGTTATTTTCAATAACCATCATGAGGTTCGTTCTAGACCAACAGTCAAAAATCTGGAAGAACAAACATATAAAACGTTGAGAGCATACACAACAATAGGGTTTAAAAAAACAGTCAAAACTGTCAAAGTCCAATTTCCTCAAAGGAGTTGCAACCCTAGAACAAATACTGCAATTGTTAATATTTGAATTTAAAAGGGTTGTGACCAATTTCACCTGAATGTGCTTCTTTCATGGGTCTGAATCGAAAATTGACAACACGAAGTGAAATATGAATATCAAAGATCCTAAAAGGTCCTAAATATTAAACTCTGTTAATTCATACAAATTTCCAAGCATTTGTGTTTTGAAAAGTTTCCTGTCAGAATAAAGAGTTCCATTATTCTGTTATG